ATAGTCACAGCTTACTACAGCCTCGACCTCCCAGGCTCAATGTGATCCTCCCACCTCAGCCTCCTGAGTAGTTGGGTCTACAGATGCGCACCATCACACCTGGCTAATTTTTGTATTTTTTGTAGAGATGGAGTTTCACCATGTTGCCCAGATTGGTCTCAAATCCTGGGCTCAAGTGATCTGCCTGCCTTAGCCCCCACAAAGTTCTGGGATTATGGGCACCAACCGCTGTGCTCAGCCCTTAACCTATTATTAGTAGTAATAAAAGCTAATTTGTTTTTTTGAGACAGAGTCTTGCTCTGTCGCCAGGCTGGGGTGTAGTGGCGCGATCTCAGCTCACTGCAACCTCTGCCTCAAGCGATTCTCCTGCCTCAGCTCCAAAGTAACTGGGATTACAGGCACAGGTCATTACATCTGGCTAATTTTTTTTTTTTTGTATTTTTAGTAGATACTGGGTTTTGCCATATTGGCCAGGCTGGTCTCAAACTCCTGACCTTGTGATCCTCCCGCCTTGGCCTCCCAAAGTACTGGGATTACAGGCGTGAGCCCCCGTGCCTGGCAAAGCTAATACTTTCATAGCTCCTAGAACTGGACCCTATTTTAATCATTTTACATGTATTTAACACTGATGCCCATAACAGCTCTGTGGGGTAGATACTGTTAAGATCCTCATTTTATGGATGAGGATGAGGTCATTGAGGCACAGAGGGGCCAAGTCATTGTCAAAGTTTCACAGCTGCTACCCAATGGACCCATGTACCTCATTGTAGGTATAGTTAGTTAAGCCAGACTGCCCGAGCTCAAATACCCTCTCCACCACTTCCTGGCTATGTGACTCTGAGCAAGTTTTAAGCCCCCCCCATCTCTGCCTTGATTTCCCCATTTGTAAATTGACCATCATAGAACTCTCTCATAGGATGGTGTGGAAAGGGTGTGGAATGCAGCTTGGCACAGAGGAAGCACGAATACATGTGCTTTTGTTATCGTCTTTGTTTAGACAGGAGGCCTCTGAACATCAAAGAATTGGAGTCACTTGATCAAGACACAGCAGATTAGGGGCAGAGTTGGTATTCAAATCCATGCCTCTCCATCTCCAAAACTAAGGGTCATTGCAAAATACAGTCTCAGACTCAAAGCCAGGCTCTGACTTTGGGAAGTGGCATGAGGACCTTTGGAGATAGCCCTGGATTCAAATCCCAGTTCTGCCACTTCCAAGTCTCTCCCAGCCTCAGTCTCCCCATCTGTGAAATGAGACTGAGTTCTCTCTGCAGAGCTGTCGTGACATTCAGAGAGGATTCACAGAAAGTGCCAAGCACAGAGCAGTGGTTAATAAATGATAATAACTACACGTACAGGTGAGGATGAAATGAGGTAATACATGCCCCTGTTCAAAACAGTTTCTGGGAAACAAACACGCGATACTCGGTCACTGTTGTTATATTACTTTTGTTACCATTGTTATTAATGTCATGACATGGTTTATGGAGAGAACTCTCTGGAATCAACTTGAAAACCTCCCACTTCCTCTTCCCTCACATCGGCTCCACCAGCAATCCCTCCCTGTTCTTCCTCCTAAAATATTTTAGATCTTTCTACTCTTCACCTTTTCCTTTGGGACAACCTCAGCCAAGTACATTAGCTCTCCTGTGTCAGTGTTCTCCACCAGGGACACACCTGTGGTTGAACAAGTTGGGTTTGTTGCCTCTTGCAATGAGGGAGAAAGCACACCATGAGGTAACTGTGAGGTGTCTAAGTAAAAGGGTATTAGATAGGACTGATTTTTTTTTTTTTTTCAGATAGAGTTTCACTCTTTGTTGCCCAGGCTAGAGTGCAGTGGCATATCAGCTCACTGCAACCTCCGCCTCCCAGTTCAAGCAATTCTCCTGCCTCAGCCTCCCAAATAGCTGGGATTACAGGCACCTGTCACCATGCCTGGCTAATTTTTGTATTTTTAGTAGAGTCAGGGTTTCACCATGTTTGCCAGGCTGATCTCTAATTCCTGACCTCAGGTGATCCACCCACTTTGGCCTCGAAAAGTGCTGGGATTATAGGTGTGAGCCACTGCGCCCAGCTGGAATTTGTTTTTTTTTTTTTTGAGACAGAGTCTTGCTCTGTCACCCAGGCTGGAGTGCAGTGTCATGATCTTAGCTCAGTGCAACCTCCACCTCCCGTGTTCAAGCGATTCTCCTGTCTCAGCCTCCTGAGTTGCTGGGTTTACAGGTGTGTGCCCCCACACCCAGCTAATTTTTTGTATTTTTAGTAGAGATGGAGTTTCACCGTGTTGGCCAGTCTGGTCTCTAACTCTTGAGCTCAGATGACCCACCTGCCTCAGCCTCCCAAAGTGCTGGGATTACAGGCATGAGACCTAGCCAGAAAGGATTGATTTTAAGGCTGTGGCTTGTGTGTGGTGGTCTTGGGAATGGTGCAAGGAAGTGGAGCCTGGTTCCGGCTTGGATACTGTTAGAGAGGAGTAATGCTGTGTTGAGCATTTGCATAAATCTGATTTATGAGGCCGGAGAAACAAAGTGAGGCTAAAGTTGTAACTTTAATACAATAAAATATAATATAAGCAGTCATTTATTTTAGCCAGGATATGAGGATGCTTAGTCATTCTGTGGTTCACACAATGATCTTGTTTGTTTCTGTGTTCAGACATGGTTATGGATTGGTCTCGATTTTTTTCTTTCTTTTTTTTTTTTGAGACAGAGTCTCACTCTGGTTGCCCAGGCTGGAGTTCAGTGGTGCAATCTCAGCTCACTGCAGCCTCAGCCTCCCGGACTCAGGTGATTCTCCCAGCCCAGCCCCCCCAGTAGCTGGCATTATAGGAGCATGCCCCTACGCCCAGCTAATTTTTTGTATTTTTAGTAGAGACGAAGTTTTGAAGTGTTGACCAGGCTATCGATTTATTTTTCTTGATCCTTTACTGTCACAGTGTGGCTTTGTCCAAGGCTGGTGCTCTGTGAGATTATCTAATTGCAGCTGAGCTCCATGGCTTCACTCTATGTGCCAGGGCAACTCCCAGCTGTCAGGGGCTGCCTTTCTCTTTCTTCCCTGGAAAACTACCTGGCCCCTTGTTGGTTTCCTAGCCTTTTTTTTTTTTTAAGATGGAATCTTGCTCTGTCGCCCAGGCTGGAGTGCAATGGCATGATCTTGGCTCACTGCAACCTTCGCCTCCCCAGTTCAAGCAATTCTCCTGCCTCAGCCTCCCAAGTAGCTGGGATTAGAGGCACCCACCACTGCACCCTGCTAATCTTTGTACTTTTAGTAGAGACTGGGTTTTGCCGTGTTGGCCGGGCTGGTTTCAAACTCCTGACCTCAGGTGATTCGCCCATCTTGGCCTTCCAAAGTGCTGGGATTACAGGTGGGATCCACCGCGTCCAGCTGAGTCATTTTCCTTTTTTACACAGAGGCCACAATGATATTCTTACCTTGCTTTTTTGTTTTTTGTTTTGTTTTTTTGAGACGGAGTTTTGCTCTTGTTGCCCAAGCTGGAGTGCAATGACACAATCTCAGCTCAATGCAACGTCTGCCTCTTGAGTTCAAGCGATTCTCCTGCCCTCAGCCTCTCGAGTAGCTGGGATTACAGGCGTGCACCACCAGGCCCAGCTAATTTTGTATTTTTAATAGAGATCAGGTTTCTCCATGTTGGTCAGACTGGTCTAGAACTCTCAACCTCAGGTGATCTGCCTGCCTCAGGCTCCCAAAGTGCTGGGATTATAGGCGTGAGCCACTGTGCCTGGCCTCTTACCTTGTTTTTATTGAAGAATAACATATGTCCAGTGACATGCATAAGTCAGTGATTCTCTATGTATCTGTACACACGTGCAGCTGCCACCTAGATGAAGATCGTGGGGGCTCCTCCCTGTTGCTCCTTCTGGGGAAATACCATCCCAAAGGTAACACTGTTCTGATTTCTATCACCACGGGTTAGTTTTGTCTGTTTTGGAACTTCATATAAATGGAGTTACATAGTATATTTTGTTTTAAGGCTTTCTAAACTCAACACAAAGTTTGTTTGTTTGTTTGTTTGTTTTTAAATAAAATGAGATGAGGTCTCACTATGTTGTCCAGGCTGGTCCCAAACTCCTGATCTCAAGTGATCCACTCACCTTGGCCACCCAGAGTGCTGGGATTACAGGTGCGAGCCACCGTGCCTGGCCTCCATTTACTTTTTGATGGCTAGCTGCACTATTTCTCAGTTTGATCATATTAATAAGCAAATCTTATCATGTTCTCCAGCTCATTTAGACCCCCTTAAAGATACTCTACTATTCCCAGAATTAATCCAAATCTCTTGTCGGAGCCTCTAATGCCCTGAACGGTCTTAGCCTCTGCCTGACTCTTTCATCTCAGTTCCTGCCCCTCTCCCCACGGCCTTCTGAGCTCAGAAGCACTGCTCTCCTTTCTGGTCCATGCTACCTCCCACCTCCAGGTGTGCCCACGTGCTGTTCCCTCTGCTTGTAAAGGGCCGTGCCCCTCTCTTGACCTGCGCTAGCTGGCTAAATCCTGCATGCTCCTTAGGCTGCATGTCAGATAACCTTGAGGAAGCCCTCACCCACCAGCCCCACTTCTAGACTCCACATCTCCTTGTATCATTACACTTCCTCCTTCATTGTCTTAGTCTCCATGGTAAACAATTGCTATGATTATTTGGTTAGGATCTGTCTCCCCCATCAGACTGTGAGCTCTGCTGGGATAGGCGCTGGTTCTGTCTTCATCTCCAGCATCATCCAGGCCAAAGCCAGGCACACCATAGATGCTCATTTAACATTTACAGAACAATGAATGTCGAGTAGAGTAGCCCCAGCCTCTCTTTAAGCCCCACGACTCTCCCACTCCAGACACACAGACTTTCTCCCAGAGCTGTCAGGGAGCCTCAGCTCCCACCCTTTCCCTCCTTGGCAACTGCCCAGGGCAGGGACCGCTCTCCCAGTGGATGACGCGCTTAGGGGCGGGTCCCATCCCACAGCCGGGACGCTGAGTTGGCCCGGTTGGGCAAGGCGAGGGTTGCCTGGGGCTAGGTTACTCATCCTGGGCTCAGGTAAGAGGGCCTGGGCTGGGAGGCGGCACACCCAGGGGGGACGCCAAGGGAGCAGGACGGAGCCATGGACCCCGCCAGGAAAGCAGGTGCCCAGGCTGTGATCCGGACCGCAGGCAGGCTGCTGCTGCTACTGCTGCTTCACGGAGGTGGGTCTGCTGCCCAGAGAGGTGGAGGGGATACAGTGGGGACTCCTAAAGAGGAGGCTCCTCTGGGCACCTACAGAGAAGGCTCCCCCATATGAGTAGAGGGGGCTGTGGGCAAAGTTCCCCCATCCTAAGCAGAGGAAGCAGTGGGAAGGGTCCCCCACCATGGACAGTAGAAAAGGTTCCCCACCACGGACTAGGGGGACTGTGGGCAAAATTCTCCCATCCTGAAGCTGTGGAAAGAAGTCCCCTGTCCTCGGCAGAGAAGCTGTGGGCAGAGTTCTCTCATTTGAGTAGAACGGGGCTGTGGAAAGGGATCCCTCACTGAGCAGTCTGCTGTGGGGAAAGCTCTCTCATTCTGAGCAGAAAGCTATGAGGAGCTATCGCTCCTTCCCTGGGATGAGGGGCTCCATGGCAGGGATCGCCTGCGGTGGGCATACGGGGCTGTAGGAAGGATGCGCCCACAGTGGGCATAGGGGGTGTGAGGGAAAAAAAAGGTCCAGTGATTCCCGTGTTTCCAGATTTGTGGAAAGCTTTTCCCTACTCCTGCCCTGGAAAAGTGTGTGCAGTAAGACTGTCTCATCCCGGGACAGAGGGCATGGGAAGGACTATTTCTCCCTTTGGGGTGGAGGCTTTCGCAAGGAGGGCTCAGGTCTGCTTGGCCCCCCGCCCCCAGGAGCGCAGGCCCTGGAGTGCTACAGCTGCGTGCAGCAAGCAGATGACGGATGCTCCCCGCACAAGATGAAGACGGTTAAGTGCGCGCCGGGCGTGGACGTCTGCACCGAGGCCGTGGGGGCGGTGGAGACCAGTGAGTGGGGACCCTGGACCACGCGCTCCCCTGCAGCCTCCTCTGGCCCGGCCCCGCCTTCTTATAGTCCTTTCTGTATCTGGCCACGCTCCTTTAACGCGGCCCTATCCCTCCCTTGCAGCCTAGCCGGGACCCTACAACACAGCCTCGCCCCTCCTCTCAGGCCAGGCCTTCTCTATTAATGATTACTAGGGCGAGGGGCAGAGAGTTGAGAACTGGGTGGGGCGGATTGGGAGAGCTCGGATTTGGGACGAGGCCACGTCCTATGCACCTTTTCTGCTCCACCACTGAGACCTCCCCATCCCTGCCTGTCAACCGAGCTCTCTCCTCGGACTCAGCTCTTTGAGGTTCAGCCCCTGTTCCAAGACCCTGCCCCTTCCTCCTTCGGTAGTTCTTTCCCCTCTGAGCGGCTCTTTGGGGGCGCCCGTCCACCCATCCCGGCTTGTCCAAACTCTGGCGTTGGCCTGAGGCCCCGCCCCTCCCATACCTTACCCAACTCTGGGCCACGCCCCATCTGAGACCGTGCCCACAGCTAATCCCGCCCCCGTGCCTCTCCCCAGTCCACGGACAATTCTCGGTGGCAGTGCGGGGTTGCGGTTCGGGACTCCCGGGCAAAAATGACCGCGGCCTGGATCTTCACGGGCTTCTGGCGTTCATCCAGCTGCAGCAATGCTCCCAGGACCGCTGCAACGCCAAGCTCAACCTCACCTCGCGGGGGCTCGACCCGGCAGGTCCGTGGGGGCGGGGCCGTAGCCTCGGGGCGGAGCTTTATTGGGGCACGCCCAGATGAAGGCGGAGCCGGGGCGGAGACAGGAGTACTCGGCCTGGGTGCTGGGGGTGGGGACACACTGGAGGGCGGGGCCAAGAGGAAGTAGGTGGGACTTCCTGGATGTAGGTATCGGGAGGTTGCACCCTGGGGCGGGGCTATTAGTAGGCGGGGTCATTGATAGTGCGGGGCCACGCCTTAGGGGCGGAGCTAGAGGCCAAGCTGCGTTTCCGGATCCCTCTCGACGCCTTTCCCTCCTCTCCGCCCCCTTCGCAGGTAATGAGAGTGCATACGCGCCCAACGGCGTGGAGTGCTACAGCTGCGTGGGGCTGAGCCGCGAGAAGTGCCAGGGTACGGCGCCGCCGGTCGTGAGCTGCTACAACGCTAGCGATCATGTCTACAAGGGCTGCTTCGACGGCAACGTCACCTTGACGGCAGGTGAGCGAGCCCCGGAGCACGGGACCTGTAGGAGTTGTGGTGGCCTTTCTGAAGCATCCTGGGCGGCAGGGAGCCCTTTACGCAAAGGGCTTCCTTCACCTGCAACACATTCTGGGAACCGTGGGGCCTAAGTGCTTGTATAGTAAGGCATCATGAAAAATGCAGTCCCTTCCCCCAACACATTATTAGCGTGGGGATAGGGATGCTTTGGCCCAGAGTGTTTTGGGGGAAAATACATTTTCATAGAGGGCTGCCAGGTACAGAATGGACATACAGTGAGAAATGTATTTAAGCCTCTCAGCTTCTGCCCATGCACTGTGGGGAATCTCTAGTTCTTCGTCGTTAAAACTCAAGGGATCCCCACCCGAGTATTTAGAGATGTAACCATGGAAAATGAAATTCTTCAAACTCCATCACTAGCGAGGTATACTGTGGGAGATGTAGTTCTTTTTTATTTATTATTACTCTTGTTTTTTAAAGACAGGGTCTTGCTCTGTCACCTATCCTGGAGTGCAGTGGTGTGATTATAGCTCACTGCAGCCTCTGCCTCTTGCAGCCTCTACCTGTCTGCCTCCTGCCACAGCCTCCCAAGTAGCTGGGACTGCAGGGGTGCACCTGCATGACTGCTTACTTTTATTTTTGGTAACAGTGGGGTCTTGCCTTGTTGCCCAGGCTGATATTGAACTGCTGGGCTAAAGCGTTCCCCCTGCCTAGGTTTCCAGGAGGGCTGGGATTACAGGCGTGAACCACTGTGCCGGGTGGGGAGATGTAGCTGTGACTCTAAGACTAAATTCTGGTGGGAAAGTAAAAGCAGGGGTGAAGGCTAGAGGGACAATGGCGAGAGTGTTGTAGAAGACGTTTGTTCTGCCCTGTGGTCTTGTAAAGGGTCGTGTATCTCGGTCCAAACCTTTGTTTTAAGCCTTATTTTTAGTTCAGCCTACACACATTTCCATTCAAAGCACAATGGGAAATGTTAATCCACCGTGTGCCAAAGACAGTGAGTCTGTCTATTTCTCATAGTAGGACCTGAGTTGAGATTTTAGGATAAATGGATGCAACCCTTTCTGTCTCATATTGGGAGTTCTCTGTTCTTTTTATTTATTTATTTTTTTGAGACAGGGTCTCATTCTGTCTCCCAGGCTAGAGTGCAGTGGCACAATCTTGGCTCACTGCAACCTCTGCCTCCCAGGTTCCAGTGATTTTTTTTTTTTTTTTAAGACAGGGTTTCACCATGTTGGTCACGCTGGTCTTGAACTCCCGACCTCAGGTGATCCGCCTGCCTTGGCCTCCAAAGTGCTTGGATTACAGGTGTGAGCCACCACGCCCGGCTGTTCCAGTGATTCTTTTGTCTCAGCCCCTCTCCCCACCGCAAGTAGCTGGGATTATAGTTGTGCCACCACCATGCCCAGCTACTTTTTGTATTTTTAGTAGAGATGGGGTTTTACCATGTGGCCAGGCTGGTCTCGAACTCCTGACCTTAGGTGATCCGCCTGCCTCGGCTTCCCAAAGTGCTGGGATTACAAGCATGAGCCACTGTGCCCGGTCAGGTTCTCTTTCTTGTCTGATGCCTCCAAGTTTTGTTCTGGCTGTGCCAACCTCTCTCCCTCCAGCCACTGACCTATCTGTGTCTCCCTCCTGCAGCTAATGTGACCGTGTCCTTGCCAGTCCGGGGCTGTGTCCAGGATGAGTTCTGTACTCGGGATGGAGTCACAGGCCCAGGGTTCACGCTCAGTGGCTCCTGCTGCCAGGGGTCCCGCTGTAACTCTGACCTCCGCAACAAGACCTACTTTGCCCCTCGAATCCCACCACTTGTCCGGATCCCCCCTCCAGGGGCCACGACTGTGGTCTCAACCATATCTGTGGCTTCAACCACGCCATTCACCACGTCTACCCCGGCCCCAGTGAGACCCACATCCACCACCAAACCCATGCCAGCCCCAACCACCCAGCCTTCGAGACAGGGAGTAGAAGAGGCCTCCAGGGATGAGGAGCCCAGGTTAACTGGAGGTGCCGCTGGCCACCAGGACCGCAGTAATTCGGGGCAGTATCCTGCAAAAGGGGAGCCCCAGAAGCCCCATAATAAAGGCTGTGCGGTTCCCATGGCTGGATTGGCGGCCCTTCTGTTGACCATGGCTGCGGGTGCCCTGCTGTGAGCTTCCCTACCTGGAAATTTCCCTCTCACCTACTTCTCTGGCCCTGGGTACCCCTCTTCCCATCACTTCCTGTTTTCACCACTGGACTGGGCTGGCCCAGCCCCTGTTATTCCAACATGCCTCAATATCCCCAGCTTCTGCTGCACTGGTTTGCGGCTTCGGGAAATAAAACTACCATTGTATATATCCTGCCGGGGTATTCTAGCTTTTTGAGGACAGCACCTGTATCTGTCTCATCCTTGTCTCTCCACTTGGCCTCTTGTGATGCTACGACAGAGTGAGAGCAGTCAGCTGTCACAGGGAAGGTGGGAGAGGATGCTGAGCTTCCTACTGCCTTCTGCCTGGACTATGGAGGGTGGGGTGGGTGGGAGAGTGGCTCCCCCCCAAGCACTGCCTCCCCTCCTGCCCCCATCTTCGGGGAATCGGATCCCCATCTGTCTTCCTTATTGGACTGTGAGCTCCTCAGGGCAGGGACCGTGCCTCATGCCTGTGTGTGATCAGTTTCTGGCACATAAAGGCCTCAATAAAGATTTAATTACTTTGTATAGTGCGTTAAGGGAGTCATTTCCACTTCTTTCTCACAATAACCTCTTTAGCTGAGCTAGGGTGGACATCACAGAGCCTTTAAAGGGAGAGCTATCAGGCTAGAGCAACAGCCCTGGGGACAGTCACTGTTGGACATTTTTTTTTGTTTTTTGAGGAGTCACTCTGTTGCCCAGGCTGGAGTGCAATGGCACAATCTCAGCTCACTGCAACCTCTGCCTCCCGGGTTCAAGCAATTCTCCTGCCTCAGCCTCCCAAGTAGCTGGGACTACAGGCGCATGCCAACATGCCCAGCTAATTTTTGTGTTTTTAGCAGAGATGGGGTTTCACTGTGTTAGCCAGGATGGTCTCGATCTCCAGACCTTGTGATCTGCCCACGCTGGCCTCCCAAGTGCTGGGATTACAGGCCTGAGTCACTGTACCAGGCCATGGTTGACCCACATGGTCTAGCCCACATGTGGGTGGTCTCACTGGTGAGGGGGAGACCGGATGAAACCATTAAGTGGCATGGAAGGGTGAATGGGGCTTTTAGCAATGCCAGGGAGCAGAGAGCTTTGTCTTTGTCTAATGAGTTTGTGCATGCTCCCTAGGCTTCACCTGCCTTGCCATCCAGCTAGCCATCTGGATTTTTTTAGAGACAGGGTCTCTGTCACCCAAGCTGGAGTGCAGTGGCCCAATCATAGCTCACTGCAACCTCCAAGTACTGCCTCAGGTTCCCAAGTAGCTGGAACGACAGGCTCACCCCATCATACTTGGTTGATTTTAATTTTTGTAGAAATGAGGTCTTGCTATGCTGCCCAGTCCTCCTGCCTTGGCTTCCCAAAGTGTTGGGATTACAGGCAGGAGCCACTGCACCTGGCCTCATCTGGGTTACTAAGAGTCATTAAGTAGGCTCACCTCCTGTATCCCCCTTGTCCATAGGTCCTGAGGGTGCTGCTGTTGGTCTTTGCTTGGTGTTGGGGATCTAGGGCTTGAGCCCCACCTTCGTCTCCTCCCAATCAGATGAAGATCTGGCTTTAGAGTTCCTGGAGGGGACAAGCCTGGCTTGGGAATGAGAATTCCTGGTCGGCTTTGTGACTGCTTGATGGGAAGATGATCAGACATGGGGAATAGTGAGATCCTAACAGTATATTGCATTATTACTATTAATAATGGGGAGTCATGCGTGTTAAAACACTCTCTGAATGAAAAGACCCCCCCCAAACAGGCTTTGCTGAGCAACATGGCTATGGGTGCAGTGGAGTGAGTCTGAAAAGAGAGTGGAGGGCAGTGGGATAGGAGTTGATTTTATAGGTTTGGGGTAGGGCAGTGGGAAGTTACAGGTTACAGTTCAGGGTGGGTTTTGCAAGCTGGGAGGGGATCGTAGGGTCTGGGAGGATTGCTTGAGCCCTGGAGGTTGAGGTTGCAGTGACCCATGATCGTGCCCCTGCACTCCAGCCTGGGTGATAGGGCAATACCCTGTCTCAGAAAGAAAGAAAGAGAGGAAGAGAGAGAGAAGGAAAGAAAGAAGGGAATAAATAAATAAATAAATCTGGCTTCCAATGTTCTTTTTTTTTCTTTTCTTTTTTTGAGATGGAGTCTCACTCTGCCACCCAGGCGGGAGTGCAGTGGCACAATCTTGGCTCACTGCAACTTCTGCCTCCCTGATTCAAGTGATTCTCCTGCCTCAGCCTCTCAAGTAGTTGGAACTACAGGTGTACACCACCATGCCCGGCTAATTTTTGCATTTTTAGTAGAAGCGGGTATTGGCCATGTTGGACAGGCTGGTAAAATATTTACTTAGTGGATCTATCCCCCTAAAAGTAATCAATCTTTTGCAGCTGTCACTGTTTACCCTTCCCATCTTCTTGGTGGGATACCCTCCTTACCCATTTTGGGCTCTGAAACCCTACTATGGGCCCTGAGACTCCCGCTTCCCCACCTCAACCCCTCCAACCTCCCTCCAGGTAGCTACTTGCTTGTGTTCACAAAGAGAAGAGAAAGAAAGAGCTTAATGTATTTAAAATATAATCCATTATTGTTTTGCTCATCTAGTTTCTACTTCTAAGCTCCTAGCTCTACTTGCTGTTAAAAATGCCAGATATGGCTGAGCACAGTGGCTCCTGCCTGTAATCCCAGCACTTTGGGAGGCTGAGGCGGGCAGATCACCTGAGGTCAGGAGTTCGAGACCAGCCTGACCAACATGGGGAAACCCCGTTCACTAAAAGTACAAAAAATCAGCCAGGTGTGGCATGCCTGTAATACTAGCTACTTGGGAGGCTGAGGCAGGAGGATCACTTGAACCTGGGAGGCAGAGGCTGCAGTGAGCTGTGATTGTGCCACCGCACTCCAGCCTGGGTGACAGAGTGAGACTCTGTCTCACACACACACACACAAAGCCAGATTCTATATAACTTATTAGACTGGACATGGCTTAAAGTGTTTTTTTTATGACAGAGCTCACCAAAACAGAAGTTAGAGGAAGAAGAAAAGGGAAGAGAAGGAGAAAGAAAGGGAAAACTGAGTGAGAGGATCTGGCCGTGTGAAATGCCACAGAGGGGAAAAGTTACAAAATCTCTTCCCTGTATTTTTTCCAGGGTTTGATATCTGAGGTCCGTGTGTGAGAAACTGATTTCAGCCTCAGGTGGGGCTTGCTGGGGACAAGGCAGGCGTGACAAGGGGCAGGGTGAATCTGCCTGAACTGGCCTTGCTGGTTTCTCTTCTTCCTGGGTTTGTGTGTTTTTAACGAAGGGCTTATTTAATTTTAATTACATAAGCCAGACATCATTATCTTCACACTGTCAAACATTCAAAAAATACAGAGACAGTGAGAGAGAGAGTTCAAGCTCAAAAAGCCCTTTTGAGAAATGGTTGGTCAGTCAGTTGCAGGGGAGGGAAATTGGGGTGCAATTTGGAAAGCCTCTCTAAATGACAAATCGCTTCCAACTTGGCGGGTTTTTCTCTCAGGAATTTATCTCACACACGTGGACGCCTGTGGCCGTTGTCAGGTCTGCCCAAGGATGTTAATTGCAGTAGTGTTTGGAACAGCAAAACATGAGGAATAACCTAAATGTTTATCAGGAGGGAACTGGTTATGCTTATGATGGTGCGCTCACACAGTTTGATGCTTTATGGGCATTATACAAATAAAATGAGCTGGGTGCAGTGGCTCACACCTGTAATCCCAGCACTTTGGGAGGCCAAGGTGGGTGGATCACCTGAGGTCGGGAGTTCCAGACCAGCCTGGCCAACTTGGTGAAACCCTGTTTCTACTAAAAATACAAAAATTAGTCAGATGTGGTGGCCAGTGACTATAAATCCCAGCAACTCAGGAGGCTGAGGCAAGAGCATCGCTTGAACCCAGGAAGCAGAGGTTGCGGTGAGCCAAGGTCAGGCCACTGCACTCCAGCCTGGGTGAAAGAATGAGAATCTGTCTCAAAAAAGAAAGGAAAGGAAGGGAGGGAGGGAAGAAAGAAAAAAATAAAAATAATAAAAGGAGGCACATCTATTTATATTAACCTGGAAAAATCTTGAAAATAATGTTAAGTAAAATAAAAGACAAGATACAGAACAGTGTACCATCACTGTGTAAAAAAAAAAAAAAATCTGTGTGTAAATGCTTGTATATGCCTAGAATATGTCAAGAAATACCCAAAAGGCAATAAATACCATTGCCTCTGGAAAGGGAATTGGGTGGCCAGGGGATGAGGTGGGAGGAAATCTTTCCATCCTTCCCCTCTGTGTGATGTTGGATGAGTCACACGTCTCCTCTGAGCCTCAGTTTCCCCATTTGGAAAGGGAGGCTCATAAAGTGAGAGACTAGAGTTCTCCTTCCAGAGCCTGGCACACTGAAGATGCTTGTTGAAGAGAGGCTCTCCTGGCCAGGGCTGGTGGCTCACACCTGTAATCCTAGCACTTTGGGAGGCCAAGATGGGAGGATCGCTTGAGCCCAGGAGTTCTAGACCAGTCTGGGCAACATGGTGAAACCTCGTCTCTACAAAAAATACAAAAGTTAGCCGAGGACGTGGTGGCACACACTTGTAGTCCCAGCACTCAGTAGGCTGGGGTGGGAAGATCGCTTGATCCCGGGGAGGCTGTAATGGGCTGTGATCATGCCATTGCACTCCAGCCTGGGTGACAGAGCAAGATCTTGTCTCAAAAACAAAACAAAAACTCCCGCAAAAACCAAAGCAAACAAACAAACAACAAAACCAAGAACAAACAGAGGTCCTCCTCCTACATCCGTCCTCTTGGTCTGGAACTTCACAGGGAACTCGCTCCAGCTTTCTGCTTTCCCGGTGATGAAGAGGCCAGTAGCAGTGGCCACCACCAGCCTAGAGCCCACGGTGCAAGGGGATTTTCCCAACTCCCTTGCGCTCCGTGGCAAGAAAGAGGAAGGGGATTTTTCCAACTCCCTGGCAATCTTGGCAAGAAAGAAGACGGGGATTTTTCAAACTCCCTGGCACTCCGTGGAAAGAAAGAGGAAAATCTTTTCTCTCACATCTCTTCACTCCCACCCATACCTTCCTTCTTTCTTGAAACCAGCTGCGGGCTTTCCCTTCGATATTCTCAGGAATCGCTAGCATTCTCTCTCCACTAAGACTTCTGGTGGGAGTAGGGGTGGACTCACATTCACCCAGCCTAATGAATGACCACGTAGGGATCCATCTCTGCTCTCCTTGCAAGGAGCCTGATGGCCTGGGTTCAAATCCCTGCTCCTGCACTAGCTTGTGGTTTTGGACAAGCCCTGTCGTCTTTCTGTGCCGCAGTTTTCTCATCTATGAAATGGCAACGGCCGGGCGTGGTGACTCATGCCTGCAATCCCAGCACTTTGGGAGGCTGAGGCAGGTGGATCACCTGAGGTCAGGAGTTCGAGACCAGCCTGGCCAACATGGTGAAACACTGTCTCTACCAAAATACAAAAATTAGCTGGGCATGGTGGCAGGTGCCTGTAATCCCAACTACTCGGGAGACTGAGGCAGGAGAATAACTTGATCTGGGGAGGCGGAGGTTGCAGTGAGCC